TAGGTCAAGAGGGAGAGAGAGAGAAAGTGTGAAAGGACTCCCAGAACTCACACACACACACACACACACACACACACACACACCTTTAACCACCACCTATCTACACTAATCACTAACCACGACCAACCATACCTCTCCTAACTACTTCTAACCATCGCCCGCCACTAACTACCACCCTGTCTAATTGCCCCGAGGTTGACCAATACAGGTATTATGGTAAATATGGTAAAAGACGTGAGTGATCTAACTATGAATAATAAATGATGCGGGACTTACTGTCTTGAGAGAGAGAGAGAGAGAGTCAGATAGAGAGAGAGAGAGAGGGGTCAGGAATAGAGAGGAGGGGGTTCAGATAGAGAGAGAGAGGCCAGAAGAGAGAGAGAGAGAGAGAGAGAGAGTCAGATAGAGAGAGAGGCCAGGGAAGAGAGAGAGAGAGAGAGAGAGAGGGGTCAGGAATAATAGAGCGAGAGAGAGAGAGAGAGAGAGAGAGAGGAGAGAGAGAGAGAGAGAGGGCCGATAGAGAGAGAGAGGCCAGGAAGAGAGAGAGAGAGAGAGAGAGAGAGAGAGAGAGAGACCATCGTTACAAACAGGATGTGTCAGTTATCACCATTGAGTTAAGAAAGTTGTTGATTAAATGGTTCTCGGTTCTAATCGGTCCCAGTCTTAATCGGCTCGACTCCTAATCATTCTTACTCTTATTGGGTTCCTAATATTCAGGGACAAAAAATCCGTTCACATAGGTTAGGTTAGGTTAAGTTAAGTTAAGTTAGGTTAGGTTAGGTTAGGTTAGGTTAGGTTAGGTTAGGTTAGGGTCCAATTATATATAACTTTCTCTGCTTCTATCACATAATCTTCCTACCCTTCCTTCTCCTCACCCTCCCTCCCTCCCTCCCTCCCTCCTTCCCTCCCCCTACTTTCCCTCCCTCCCACCTTCCTCCTTCCCTTCCCTCCTCTCTCCTCCCCCAGTAAGTTGTGACGGTGGGGTGGGGGGGGGGGTTAACCTGGTTCTCCATAAGCCTCGGGGTGGAGATGGACTCAACCTGTGTTATAAAAACTACTGTAGGAAGAAGCCACTTGTCTGGCGGGTTAGGTGGGGGGGGTGAGGGGGGGAAGGAAGGAGGGTGGGAAGGAAGGAGGGTGGGAAGGAAGGAGGGTGGGAAGGAAAAAGGGATAGTGGGAGGGAAGGGGAAGGACGGAGGGATAATAGAAAGATGGAGGAAAACTAGAAGTGTAAAATGATAAAAAAAAAATGACCTAATAACTTAAGAATCCTTGGACAGAAATAAATTTGTTCTCACAATTAAAATTTTAAAGTTTTAACTAATTAAATACTTCCAGAATAATCCCAAAACACCAACACCTCGACCCAGAAACTCATATTTAGCGAGTACCTGTAATTAGCACTGATAAAAATGACAAAAACAATGCCAAAATCACCCTCCTCCTCTCAAGACTTAAAACCATTGTGTGATTTACCAAGGACACAATGGCGCCAGTTGGTTGAAGAAGCTTCCTGGTCTATAAATGAATTCACACTTTATTTACATATCAATTTATCATTATTAACAAGCGAAACTACGTCTACTTTTCCACCAATCAGCTTCATTGTTACAAGACTACTAGGGATTCATGTGTAAGTTTAGTATTGCGACTCTGCCATATGTAAACATCACCTCAGAGGGTAAAGGAATTCGCTGAGGCAACTGTACCTGTAATTATATACCTGTTTACCTTATAATGAGGTTAGATAGATAGATAGGTAGATAGATAGAAGAGAGAGAGAGAGAGAGAGAGAGAGAGAGAGAGAGAGAGAGAGAGAGAGAGAGAGAGAGAGAGAGAGAGATAATTATACCTCTAATAAGTCTCCCTGATACTTTCTCATTTCTAAAGACTAAGTACGTTACGCTTCTTACCCTGGCGAACCTTAGTCTGGCGTAGTTATAATAAAAAAAAATACCATCATAGATTAGAGGGAAGGGTGGCGAACGTTAGTCTGGCTTAGAATGAACGCCAGGCGATTTTGGAAGCTCTTAATGGCGATGTGTTTATGAGAACTGGTTTCAAAGGTGAGATTCTCATGATGATGATGTCTCTTGGTAAAGGGGCAGAGAGAGAGAGAGAGAGAGAGAGAGAGAGAGAGAGAGAGAGAGATAATTAGAGAGATAAAGATAGATAAAGACAGAGATAAAGAGAGAGATAAAGAAAGAGATAATGAGAGAGATAAAGACAGAGATAAAGAGAGATAAAGATAGAGATAATGAGAGAGAGAATTAGAGAGATAAAGAGAGAGAATTAGAGAGATAAAGACAGAGACAAAGGCAGAGATAAAGATAGAGATAATGAGAGAGAGACTTAGAGAGATAAAGTTAGAGATAAAGACACAGATAAAGAGAGAGATAAAGAGAGATAAAACACCTATAGATCAAGAGATAAAGAGAATTAGACCGAGAGATTCCCTCCCCCCTCCACTCCCCCACTGTCATGATTAACATACAGACGAACCATAAGTACCACCTACCCCCCCTCCTCCCCTCCCTAACCCCCCTCTCCCTAACCCCTCTCCCCCTCCCTAACCCCCTCTCTCTCCCCTCCCTAACCCCCTCCCTAACTCCCTCCTCCCCTCCCTAACCCCCTCCCTAACACCCCTCCCATCCTACCCCTCCCCTCCCTAACCCCCCTCTCCCCCTCCCCACCCCCCTCTCCCTCCCTAACTCCCTCTCCCTCCCTAACCCCTCTCCCTCCCTAACACCCTCCCACCTCTACCTCCCCCACCCTGGATTAAGAATAGAATGAGGGAATGGGAAGAGGGACGATAAAGTATGGAGTTACGTTAAGAAAATGGAAACAATAACTTATTAAAAAAAGGAAAGTTAATGAAATGTTAAAGGAAGGATAGACAGAAGGTTGATGACGAAGACGAAGGAGACGAAGAAGAAGAAGAGGAAGAAGAGGAAGAGGAAGAAGAAGAAGAGGAAGAGGAAGAAGAAGAAGAGGAAGAGGAAGACGAAGAGGAAGAAGAAGAAGAAGAGGAAGACGAAGAACAAGAACAAAGAAGAAGAGGAAGAAGAAGAAGAAGAGGAAGACGAAGAACAAGAACAAAGAAGAAGAGGAAGAAGAAGAAGAAGAGGAAGACGAAGAACAAGAACAAAGAAGAAAGAAGAACAAGACGAAGAGAACAAGAACAAGAAGAACAATACAGAAAAAGAAGAAAAAAGAAGAAAGAAGAAGAACACGTATAAGAAGAAAAACAAAGAGGCAGATAATAAATAATTACCTCTCAAGTAAACAGGTGATAAAGATGAACACAGATGAACACAGATGAACACAGATGAACAATCCACACGATTTACAAATTTCAATCAAGCAGCCAAACCCGACCAGGTGACCTAAGATCCAATCAAGCAACCGGACCCGGCCAGGTGATACTAAGGTTCAATCAAGCAACCAGGTGAGCCAACAGGTATAAACTACTGATTGAGCCTAGCCAAGGGGCTGAGGTGTGCAACTAATGGATGGAAAGCATTGGAATTGAGATCTCTTTACTGTTTATGATCCATAATTATCGTCTGGAACATTTATTTACTGGTCAAATGATCGTGTCTTGGTTATTGGTCGTGTGTGTGTGTGTGTGTGTGTGTGTGTCTGTGTGTGTGTGTGTGTATGTGTGTCTGGTTAAGGCAGTCAGTAATCTTAGTAAACACGATATACTGTAATAATCTGTTTAGTTACCTTATTTTAGTTATATATAATAATATATATATATATATACTGTATAACAAAATTCGTAATGTATATTTAATTGTGTGTGTGTGTGTGTGTGTGTGTGTGTGTGTGTGATTATAACAGATAATCCCTGATCATCACATATCTACAGTCATAACAAGTGTACATATGAAGCTATTCGTACATGCAGCTATGTACACACTCGTCTGTAGTACATTACGAAATTACTTGTCTAACCTGTGCACGCTTGTGGATTAATGAAACTACTTATACGCACATAACCTCGCGTGTGTATATAACTACATGTACACAAATCGCAGTTATGTACACACCTCTGCACGTGTGTGTACATAACAAAACGGCAGTCGAGGTCTTGATCAAACACGGCGCTACAGTCTACACCTAACCTAACCTAACCTAACCTAACCTAACCTACACTAACCTAACCTAACCTAACCTAACCTAACCTAACCTAACAATAACCTAACTTTAACCTAACTCCCAACCTAACCTAACTCCAACCTAACCTAACCTAACCTAACAACAACTCTAACCTAACCTAAACCTAACAATGCAACTCCAAATAAATAACCTAACCTAACTCCAACCTAACCTAACCTAACAATAACCTAACCTAACCCAACCTTAACCTAACTCATCAATAACCTAATCCCAACCTAACCTAACCTAACAATAACCTAACCTAACCTTAACCTAACCTAACCTAACAATAACCTAGAACCTAACCTAACCTAACCCAACTCAACCCAACCTAACCTAACCTTCCATTAACTGCAACAACTTCAAACACTAATAACGAAGCATGAGGAGGAGGGGGGTACGCTAACTGGCCAACAAAATGAATTAAAACGAATTTGGGCTTTGTGTCGTAAATGAATTACAGTGATAAGAGGAGTGAGGGAGGGGAGGAGGAGGAGGTGTGAATGGGAAGACGGGAAGAGAGGAGGGGATTAGTTGAGGTGAGAGAGGAAGAACAGGAGGTGAATGGTGAGGTAATGAGGAGGTAAGACTGTCATGTTTGTAAAAGTATTTCTCTTCTTCTTCTACCTCCTCCTCCTCCTCCCTCCTCCTCCTCCTCCTCCTCCTCCCTTCCTCCTCCTCCTCCCCTCCTCCTCCTCCTCCTCCTCCTCCTTCATATCTCATGACAATTTGTGGAGTCGTAAAAAAATCTTGGTTCCAGTGTTAAAAAAATATAGACAAGAAAAAAATAAAAAATTGTAAATAACTTTCTTGTGTTGACCTCTTGATGTGTTGACCTTTTGATGTGTTGACCTTTTGATGTGTTGACCTTTTGATGTGTTGACCTTTTGATGTGTTGACCTTTTGATGTGTTGACCTTTTGATGTGTTGACCTTTTGATGTGTTGACCTTTTGATGTGTTGACCTTTTGATGTGTTGACCTTTTGATGTGTTGACCTTTTGATTTGTTGACCTTTTGATGTGTTGACCTTTTGATGTGTTGACCTTTTGATGTGTTGACCTTTACGTGTTGACCTTTTGATGTGTTGACCTTTGATGTGTTGACCTTTGATGTGTTGACCTCTTGATGTTGGACCTTTGATGTGTTGACCTTTGATGTGTTGACCTTTACGTGTTGACCTCTTGATGTGTTAACTCTTGATGTGTTGACCTTTTGATGTGTTGACCTTTTGATGTGTTGACCTTTTGATGTGTTGACCTCTTGATGTGTTGACCTCTTGATGTGTTGACCTTTTGATGTGTTGACCTTTTGATGTGTTGACCTTTTGATGTGTTGACCTTTTGATGTTATGAGATTTTTTTGGATTTAGATGAAAAAACGATAATATTTTTTTCTTATATAATTTAATGAAAAAAACAAAGACTTAAATTTTCCATCTCGTAAAATCATTGTTATTAATAAAAAAAAATCCCTTCCCTAAAATCCTAATCGTGCGTGTAATCCCCTCACCACCACCTCGTAAGTTTAGGATTAATTTAATAAAAAGAAAAATCCCGTTTTCTGAGGTCAACAGATTTACTGGATTAAGTCATAAAATTTTATATACAAATCCCGCTTTAACTTTTCCTTGAGGTTAGTGGATTTCAGATTTTATGAATGAATTTATATCTTGAAAATCCTTCTCATTAATCCTGGGAATAGAGAGACTTTATATAGGATTAGGATTAACTTAAAACTTGTTTGTATCGTTGACTGTCTTGTTTGGTCAGGTTAGGTTAGGTTAATGTCAGATAATGTTAGGGTCTCGTGAAGCTATAATCATGGCCGGTTTCAATTAAATTACCTGTCCGGATAAACACCTGTAATTAATCTTAAGGTGTTCAGGTGCTGGTCAGAGAGAGAGAGAGAGAGAGAGAGAGAGAGAGAGAGAGAGAGTTAAGAAAATGGACAGACAGACAGACACACACACACACACACACACACACACAATATAGACAGATAGATAAAACAATAGACAGGGGATAGACAGATAGATACACCAAGAGTCTCAACAAGATAACAAACATCAATAAAATAACAAACTGCATAATTGGCTCTATGTGTGTGTGTGTGTGTGTGTGTGTGTGTGTGTGTGTGTGTGTGTGTGTGTGTGTGTGTGTGTGTGTGTGTGTGTGTGTGTGTGTGTGTGTGTGTGTGTGTGTGTGTGTGTGTGTGTGTGTGTGTGTGTGTGTGTGTGTGTGCGTGTGTGTGTTTGTGTGTGTGTGTGTGTGTGTGTCATCATCATCATCATGTTAACGGTTTTATTGAAAAAGTTCTGCAGCCCGAAGGCTGAAAATATACATTGGACATAAATGACTTATTACGTACATTGGTGGTTTAACAAAAGCCTTCATTAGAGAAAGGTAAAGGAACATACAGTGAACATTCAGATTAATGTAGGTGTTGAACAGCAAACACGTAGTGTAGTAACTCTCTCCCAGATGGTGTTAGGAGGGACCTGATGTGGTGTAGTAATTCCCTCACAGATGGTGTTATGAGGGGCCTCACGTGTAGTAATTCCCTCACAGATGGTGTTATGAGGGGCCTCACGTGGTGTAGTAATTCCCTCATAGATGGTGTTACGAGGGGCCCTACGTGGTGTGGTAACTCCCTCACATATGGTGTTATGAGGGGCATCACGTGGTGTACGAATTCCCTCACAGATGGTGTTATGAGGGACCTGACGTGGTGTAGTAATTCCCTCACAGATGGTGTTATGAGGGGCCTGACGTGGTGTAGTAATTCCCTCACAGATGGTGTTATGAGGTGTGTGTAGTAATTCCCTCACAGATGGTGTTATGAGGGACCTCACGTGGTGTGTGTGTGTGTGTGTGTGTGTGTGTGTGTGTGTGTGTCAGGACCTCACTATACAGGCTATATTAACCACACTATACCATATTATCTTGTAGTCATCATTTCTCATCAGGTTTTATAGTGAGAAATTATTATGACGCCAAACTGTGAGAAATTTAAGAGTAATTTTTCTGTTTTCATTTCGTCAGGTTCAATCCGCCTCTCGTGACCAAACTGATGGATGTTATTTTTGACCTAATTTGAGTATGTTTTTAAAAGTATGGATTATATTAACCAGGGAATTATCATTTACTGGTATATGATTGATTATTTGATTAAAAGGTGTTGAATATATACATACATAAACATGAATGAATATGTATATCTTTATGTATATATTTATTTAGATAAGCCAGTATACATAGTCAGTGTTGCCAGATGAAAGGAACTGAGGTTGAGGAGTCTGACAGAGTGGCAGGACGAGGTGAGGGACCAGTTTTTATCTGGCAACACTGTAACTCGAGATAGGAATGTTGGTCAGTAAGTCATGAGTGGATTATGTGTGTGTGTGTGTGTGTGTGTGTGTGTGTGTGTGTGTGTGTGTGTGTACCTCTTTAATGGGGGGGGCGGGGTTGGACGCACATGCTGTTCATTAATAGTTCCCTGAAAATAATGAGAGAGAGAGAGAGAGAGAGAGAGAGAGAGAGATTCATTTATCCCCATTATCTCCGGTTTGTGAGTCATTGTCCCCCTTAGCCGCCTCTCTTTACCCCTTTAGTGTTATTTACCCTTAGTTACCTCCCTTTAACCGTTACCCATTAACTGTGATTAGAGACCCATCCACCTCTTAACTGACTCCCTTTACCCCTTAAGTATTATCTCCCCTTAGTTAGCTCCCCTTACCCCTTTAACCTTTACCCATTAGCTGTGATTTAAATGCCTTCCACCCATTAGCCTGTACTAGGTAGTCAACTAAAAATAGAAATGGAATGTCGGTTGATTAACGATGAGGGTCTTGTGTAGTGTAGTGGATGTCTGTCTGTCTGTCTGTCTGTCTCTCTCTCTCTCTCTCTCTCTCTCTCTCTCTCTCTCTCTGTGTCGGAAGAAAGCCAAACGAAACTTCCTTTTAATTACCCTCCTTCTCCTCCTCCTCCTGCTCCTCCTCGTCCTCCTCCCACTCCTCCCACCCTCCTCCCACTCCTCCCACCCTCCTCCCACTCCTCCCACCCTCCTCCCACTCCTCCCACTCTCCTCCCACTCCTCCCACCCTCTTCTTCAAGGCGGCAGAGGAGCTTCTTCCTCTTAAACAAAGGCTTCCTCATCACAACGAAGCCTTCAGGTATAATTTGTTGTGGCAATACAAGTACATACAGTATATAACTCAAGTAAGGTAGTTATCTCACACTGGTAACGAGGGATCAGCTCACTTTATTTACCACTATTTTTCCCTCCAAAAGTTACTACGTCAACAAACGACCACATTAATCATAGTTTCAAGTCTTTAATTCACCCAATGATTTATTTCCTATTAAGGTAAATTATAGATCTATCTCAGAGAAGTATGATTATATTGAAGAGATATATTCCAGAGTTAGAATCAAAATAAATGGATATATTTCACCTTATTCTCGCCTCTAGGTTAATTTTACGTCACAGGTGTTGGTTTTAAGGGATACACACACACACACACACACACACACACACACACACACACATACACACACAGACATACAGACATACATTCAGTCTGGGAGATTCCTACAGTCTGTCCAGTTATATAAATCATGTCTGTAAAATTTGCCAAGTCATGATGAGTCATTGGTTTTGTGTGAGGCATTTAAAGCGAAAACCTGAAATGGAGAGAGAGAGAGAGAGAGACTCAAGCTAAAAATTACAGTAATCTCTCTCTCTCTCTCTCTCTCTCTCTCTCTCTCTCTACGCTTAAATTCATCCTACCTCTCCTAGCAACAACACAATTATACGCTTCGGATGGCAGTGATATCCGTATAATAGAGAGAGAGAGAGAGAGAGAGAGAGAGAGAGAGAGAGACAGCAGGCAGGTACTAAGACAGACACAAACAAAACAGTCATAAATGCTTCTCTCTCTCTCTCTCTCTCTCTCTCTCTCTCTCTCTCTCTCTCTCTCTATTATATGGTTGTTACGCATAGCTGAGAAGGTAATTGTGTTGTGGCTGGCGTAGCGAAAGGAAGCGTAGAGAAAGATAATTACGCACCTCTCTCTCTCTCTCTCTATCTCTCTCTCTCTCTCTCTCTCTCTCACTGTTCGACTTAGAAACTACAATTAATCAAATCTCTTTAGACAGACACAGACAGACAGACGGAAGTAGAGAGAGAAGAAAAGAGAGAGAGTGAGAGAGAGAGAGAGAGAGAGAGAGACACTGTGTACGTCTTTGCATATGTGTGTAAGTATGTGTGTATTCATGTGGACGCTGTAACTATGCATAACTGTAAATGCATGTGTGTATAAATATCCTTACCAGTTTACATGTGTGTACGTGTGTGTGTGTGTGTGTATGAGTACTAATGTGTGTATGAATGAGTGTGTGTTTGTGTGGTGTGTGTGTATGAACGTTAGTGTGTGTGTGTGTATGTGTACGTCTCAGAACCCATCATAACTCAGCATAAAACAAATGAAGATAAAAGTCACCTGGCAACATCCACCTCTCATATTAGTGTTGCCAGATGGTGAGTCATAAATTAATTCCTAACTTAATTAACCTGGCGAACAAACTCAATAACACACACACACACACACACACACACACACGCACACACACACACACACATTTATTACATTTATATATACGAAGAATGTACAACCTCTCTCTCTCTCTCTCTCTCTCTCTCTCTCTCTCTCTCTCTCTCTCTCTCTCTCTCTCTCTCTCTCTCTCACTTACCTGTAATTCCTTCATCCTCTCCTCCTCTTCCTCCTCCTCCTCTTCCTCCTCCTCCCTCTTCCTTCTTCTCTTCTTCCTCCTCCTTCACCAAAGTATACAGGTCTTATCCTCCCTATGTCCCTCCCCTCCCCACATTACTTTCCTCCCCACATTACCCCTCCATTACTTTCTCCTTTTTCCTCCCCACAACACTTCCCTCCCCTCACCCTTTCCTCCCCACACCACTTTCCTCCCCACCACTTTCCTCCCTCACCACTTTCCCCACTTTCCTCCCCACCACTTTCCTCCCCACCCCTTTCCTCCCCACACCACTTTCCTCCCCACACCACTTTCCTCCCCCACACCACTTTCCTCCCCACTTTCCTCCCCACCACTTTCCTCCCACACCACTTTCCTCCCCACACCACTTTCCTCCCCACACCACTTTCCTCCCCACCCTTTCCTCCCCATTTCTCTCCCCACCACTTTCCTCCCCACACCACTTTCCTCCCCACACCACTTTCCTCCCACCACTTTCCTCCCCAGAGGAAAGGTTGTCTCCCCATCGTCTCTTGGTTTATATCCACGAACTGTCACGATAATCTTCT